GACTCAATGTTTCGAATTTGCTATTCTTCCACACAACATCGTCATATTGCTTAAAGGACGAATTCACGATGAAAAAGCAACCCATTTCAAATTAACCTAGGGATGGTGAGTGGTACACGAAAGAAGGAAGAACCATGAGAAACGGCCCAGAACCCGAGAAATGGGACCCCTTCCTTGCCCGTTGATTCGAGCATTGATGCGACTCTCATCGCTGTGCCCTCTTCAACACTACGCTCTCTCAGCTATCTAATCACTCGCCACGTATTGAACTACGGCGAGTGATCAGATGATCGGTGGGCGGAGATCGCCGGACCCGCCAGCTTTGAGGCATGATAGGTCGCCGAGGTCAAATTTTTCCATGCGAATTGCGCGTCAGTTCGCACCCTCAGGAGGTCCGTGGGTCCCTCAACTAGGTCAGTTTCCCTTTCTTCGACCTTCATTCTAATCGTGAATTCCTCTTAAAACAACTCTCAAGCATACAATGCATTCGACTTAACGTATTAAAGCTACAGCAAATTCCTAAAATTCAAAGGAAAGCCGGATTTGCCTTTTTCGGCCTTTTCGTTATGACTCGATTACTGGTCGCTTTTCTTCATGGGAAACTATACTACATATATATTCATCTGGTCGAGTTACACTTCTAAAATTCTTATTTCTGGCTTCGGGTAAGTTTGGAAGTTTTATGGAAGCAAACGGTGCCTTATAAGTACTCAGATGTGAATGTGCAATTCATAGGTTCGCAGCCGCTCTTCTTGACTGAGTTGACTTGCAAATGATGCCGATATTTGGGTACCTTTTTATCCATTGATTGGTCAACTTCAGTATTAACAGAAGTTGTCTCTTTGAACTGAAAAATAATAAGAAGGAAGCGAGCTATGACCTCTCAATGAAGGCTGTCCTCCTCTGGTTGTAATTATAGCGAGGGAGGCTCGCTAATGGGTCGCCTTTGGATCCACGGCGTTTTTTGAAGTTTAGGAAAAGTACTGTATATAATTGGATCGCTCTAGATATCGTTGAGTTGTTTTCAAGGCTCTTAACTTTCTTTACTGAAACACTGACTAAAATGCATATTTCTATCTAACTGTTGAAAATGGTTAACGGGTACGAAACAATTTGATGATGGATAGAAAAATTCAATTCTTTAGTTTGCTCATTATTTTATAAACGTTAGTCCGATCGGTTGATAGCGTTCGCTTTCGTTAGGTGTTCGTGTGGCAAACGTCGTAGGTTTCCAGACCGAAGTTCTGATTATTTGATTCTATCATTTTGCTTATAAAGGGTTAGAAAATCGTCTTATCACTTTGAGCTTGTTCCTGATTGTTAACTGCTGTCTTTGGACGCAGTGTGTCTTGCGAAAGGTTCATAAGGATGCCAGGTTGACTTGTAATGCACAGTAATGGTCAAAAGTGTTGGTCGCAACGATTTTTCGTGCTTCTCTTTTTTGCGAGGAAAAATCAATGCGATGACCTCGAAATTTTTTCTTTTCGGTATCCTGATTCTCTAAGAGTTGAGGACACCGAAAAACACTCGAAATCATAGTATATCGATCTTTGAAGGACGTTGCTCAAGCGAGAAAAAATAATGCACACGAAAATTGTTACGGCGAACTACTGTATTTTATCACTGTTTTGATTTGTTTTGATTAGCTGTCATGTCCACAATTTTTAGCTGTTTGTTTTCATTAATTTCTTGAAGCGAATAATAATTGCTGGCGTTTCTAATGGTAGATGCTTTATTTAATTTAATCTTATATCTTATGATAGAAATTGAATTGATTAAAGAGATTTTCTTCTAAATTTTCGTCTGCCTTGTTTCTTCCAGTTTCTTTTCCAACTTAACCCGTGATATTCTATTTTTTTTTGACATGTTCTAGCTTAATTTAATTGCTAACCCCTGCTGTTGCGAATCTAGTTGAGCAACCACTAAATATCTCCCATAGTAGTTCGTTAACTTTCGAATTACAGTAGCTGGAGGTATGCTGCTCATCTTGGTCACCGGTGCGTTAGCGGCTAGTGATCGAAAATGGACAACTGATGAAGGGATTCAGATCGAAATCATCAAGAAAATTCCAGGTTAGCCAAATTATCTGAAGCCATTAATTTAATTCCTTTTTATTATTAAACCCTATTTGGGATGTGTCGGTTTGTATGTTATGCGGGTAGTTATATGTATATACAGGGGGGGGGGCCAAAAAAAGACATTTTGCCTCCACTTCCAGATGGATTTAAGCACATTTTACTCAACTCAGACCGAACGGTTCCAACTTATTATTAAAGAGTGCATTCCATTCTATAAGAAAATCTTCATAGTGGCCACGTACGTGGACGGCATCAGAAGAATTAGCCCTGGAAACATGGTGCACTGGTCGATCTCAATGGGGTCTTCGAAGGATCGTGTACCATAACGACCCTTACTGGAAAGCTAGTTCCGAGGGGATTTGCACAGTGGTAGCTAATGCCTCTAGAAAACTATCCAACATTAAATCGATTCACGAAATTGCGTAAGAGCTTCAGGCTGAAGCTCTTACGGTAGACCTCCTTGAGCCTGACGACGGTGACAGATGACGTCATATTCTGAAGACGGTGAGGGCAGTGAAGGAGAGCCTGCGTACACTAATAGAGGAACACTTAGGGAATACTCTGCTGAGGAACTCCCGTCAACGACAGCAATCTCTGCGAAGAAAAAAGAGCCGAAGTCCGACATAGGCAAAATGTCTTTTTTTTTTGCCCCCCCCCCCTGTATTCTGCAGTCCCTCAGCAAAACGAAACTCAATGATAAGAGCTGTTAACGAAAGTAAACAATGTTCGTAATAATCGCTAACTCGAGCTATCATGTTTTGCCCAGATTGGTAATTGGGAAGTATAACTATACTAACAACTCTTTCGGCTGTCAAACACATACTCTCGTTAGCAAAAACACATTTCGGTCTTCATAGTGTGGTAGCTGGAGAGCAATGGAGAGAAGCGAGAAAGGGAGGGTGGGGTGGCGAAGTTAGAAAATCAGAGCCTTCATGCCATGATTATGGCGATGCTTTCCACTACATGAAACTCTTTTTTGTTTCATACGCGTCACCTCCGCAAGATGGTGGTGTCACGAATAGGGGTCCACAGCGGATGACGTAAAGCTTACGGGGAAGGAAGGTCCCGGCGGTTGACTGGGAAAGTAATAAAGTATGGGGGGGGGTGGGGGTGGGAGAGGCTCTGTCAAGGAGGAGAACAGTGGTGGGACTTGAGCCTGTATCCAAAAGAGTAGCTAGAGAAGCCTTGATGTATTAGTGAAGATTGGATAGCGGTAAGCTTCACTGAAGGCAGCGGTTAGTCTGGTGGGATAGAATTTGGTAGTTGTTAGTTCGTTCCGTAGATGGGTTAGTGCGCTAGTGTTGGTCTGAAGGATGAAGGGGTTATTAGGAGCGCTAAGGGATGGGGTGGTTGAGACAGGGAGCGAGGGGTTGTGTGGTAGCGGGTATCGATAAATCTTTGTGAAGGCTTGTGGAAGAGCTCATCTTGAAAGATTTTCAAATGAGTGCCCAAATTCATGACAAGCTTCGTAGTCACACGTTTGCTTCAATGAAGCTTCCAAACTTACCACGAGAGAAATTAAAATTTTAGAAGTTTCATGAGGCAAACACGTGCCTGACGAAGGTGCTAAGCACCGAAATATTGCAAACATTTTGGAAAGCTTTCGAGATTATTTCTTTTAAAGCCTTTTGAAATAAATTTTTGGAGCCTCGGACCGTAGTTCAACATTTAGGTCCCAATGAGGTTCAGCACAGCACTATACTAAGTTATTAGGACCGTCAAGGCATCGCCACTAGAAGACGTGGATTTTTTCGACATTTCCAAAATATCTACATTCTTACAATTTACAATTCTTACATCGATAAAGAGGTAATATTCAGATTCAAAATGCCAAATTCGCTCCGAAGCCGGCGACACACTGGAACAGTTTTATAAGCTGTCAGATAAAGATGGAAAAGTCATTGGAAGCAATTTTGGCCAAAAACCGTGAGTTCGAAATATTTCGTCAGTGAGAAAAGAAGGATGTTATAAACAAGCTTTTAACAAACTCGTTACTGTACTAGTACTGCCCTTGTACTCTGACTCCGAACTTCTTGAAAATGAGCTGGTTTTAAATGGCAGCCATTGCTTCTAGGGACAAGCCGCCAATCATGGAGGTTCGGTAGATGCGATCTGGATTTGACCTTTTTAGCGCTTCTTGGCACTACAACCACCTTCGCCTAAGTACTAGAACCGAAAGCACATGGTTTTATTTAGAAGCTGTTTGCTTGGGAACTTGAAAAATGACAACAATGAGCTTAGTTACTGGTGCTGGAATGTGATTTAAGCTGTTGAAGGCAAACCCGGGATTAGCCCGACTAGTGGAAGGATACCGCGAGGGAAATTGTAAGGTCCGTACCTACCTAGATCACTCCAGCTTCGTCGCAAAATTGCGCGTTAGGGCCTGCAACCATCGACCTCCGTTGCAACGCTTCCCACCCACCTCGATTGATGTGGAGATCAGCGTGCTCTCTCGAACGACGTGCTCTCTCGCGTATTTTTTTCTTTGATCGCCCTGTCTCGCCATCGTACCACATCCGACCTTATTGAAGGTTAAGGCCTTAATTTCAGCGTTCCCAAAGATTTCTCTTGCTTTCCTTTCCACTTTCAGGTCGTTCCGCAGCTAAGCTATCACTACGAAGCGCTCTTATCACCATTTTATCCCGTAGCTTGCCTTTAAATTGTTTGCGCCAATCTACGGGCCGAGAATCGGACGCTGTAACACTCCACTGAAGCGCCTGGAAAACTGCCAACTGCGGTTCTATTCTGCGTATTAGCTTACACGTCCTTCATGTATTTTTCCCCTCGGGTCTTTTTGAAGGTTTTTGACAAGCAGCCACGGAAAAGAGAGGAACAATAGGAGAAGCTAAACAGAGGGAAGCTGTGACCGTACGTATGATCACCAACGAAGCCACTATCACCGTGTGCAAGTTTCGGAAATCACCTTTTTGGAAGCTACACCTGGCAAGTGCCCTTGTACCCTTATTGAGTAACACTCCAAGGCATTTTGTATCAAAGTGTGGTGAACTGTCAACATAGAAGACCCAAACGTCTTTTTGAGCCGCATCTTGGCCAAGTAGGCGCCTGTCTCAAAAATTGGGTCAACTTTTTTTGCGTCACGGGTTTGAGGGTTGAGGTATACTTTATGTCTATGACCCCTCATTATTCATGGATTCCGACGGATTCGTCGGTATTTATATTTTTTTACTGTAGAAAAACCCTACGTGAACACACATCATCACCGGCCTGACATTTCGAAATTTCCTCATCAATGTAGTTAACACAGCTCTAGATTGAAAAGAAGCAATTGAGTGCAGAACGCCTCTCCCCTCTTTTCTCCTGAAGAGAGCTCAATAAAACAGAAGAGTTTT